AAAATAAAATACAAATAAACACGATTAAATTATACAATATCTAACGATGTTATCCTAAACAGTTTTTAGTTTTATTCTAACTCGAAGCAACATTTAGAAATCTTGATTGTAAAGAAAATATCCATAGTAATAGTTTTGTTGGTTTTATCGAGTAAAAGCTAATAACGCATACGGAATACCCATATAAAAAATATTCTGAAAATTAATTTTTAAAATTAATAAAATTAGTAGATGACAAACCACAATTAATATGTTAAATCAAAATTTTAAATATATATATTCAGTTATTTTTTTTTTTATCTTTTCTCCATGCTTTCAACAAATTTGTCCATCAGTATTGCTGCAGTAATTTAATTTTAACCAACGAATAAATTGTACAGATGTAACATCTTCGGGTTAATTTGGTCGATTTGAATGTAGGTACTGTAATGAAAGAGATTACCGGGAACGGTTGTATGTTTTTGATCAATTACTTGGTTTAACATATTGCAATATAAATTATATTATTATAAAATGGCGATATTACCTTTTCAATCCTTGTAGAGGTTTCTTTATTAAATCGTGGTTAGCATCTTATGTGTGAAATGAGGTGACCGATTTGTATTTTAAAATAATATAAAATATTTTTGTTAAGTTCACTATTAATAATTGTATTAACATACATTAATGTCTTTCTTCTTTTAGTCTTTCTCTTAAATTAACCATTACGATTACCGGATTACGTAGTTCTGCATGGGCGATCCGCGTGGTCTCTTACACTCGCGCTTGAACGTCTATGCAAAAAGGCAAAAATAATACGTCTGATATGGCGGCTGAATGCCGAGTTCTATATAATATTGTGTGTGTGTTTGTGTGTGTGTACGTAATATCTAATTGTTATATTTTATTCTATTTAATATTTGTAACTTATTCTTATCCTTAATGACTAACAATTACCATAATTATTTTATTATACATATCAATTTTAAAACAAGATATGATGGTTTATATGCACATCATTACAGTACATAATGTTGTAATTGTATACTTGAATTATAATTTAAAATTTTCCAAAAAAAAATAATCAATTGTGAATAAAAATAATAGTAATAATATTAACCCATACGACAATCGACTCATTGGAAAAGTTACCACTTACCACCAACCCTCTCTAATCGACCAATCTGCTAATCCGGCCCACAGTAACGTGTATATAATAATACAATTGATCTTTGTAAGAAACAATGTATTATACACATGTTTATAGAGTCTTAGAATGGATAAACTATAAATTAATATATTATAATATATAAAAATAATTATTTCAATTCATACATTATATTTTTTTATGTATGTTTGAAATTGTATTTATGGTTGAGAACAAATTGAAATGGTCTATATTTATGAACTGAAATCTGAAGTTAAAATGATAAAATAAGTCATAATGTTAAGACAACATATGTTCTAAACTATTTTTCCATTATGTCATCCAAGCATTTTTTCAAACATTTCTAAATTCAAATCGATTTATCTCAAAAATGGACTGGGTTACTATAAAAAAAATGTGTTACGAAATGTAATATTTTTATTTAAGAAGTTTCTAATGTATATTATAATTTATTGTTGTTAAATAATAATAAAAAAAAAGTTCGTTTTAATTTTTAAATTATATTATCTATTAAAGTTAAAACAATAAAGGTAGTGTATAAGTAGAGTATTTCTACATTAGTAAATAGGTACACACTTAAGTATTAAAAATTATAATAATATATGACCTTATGGGAAGACACAAATATAGTAAACAGGCATCACACAGGCGGTAGTCCAACTAATTAAGTGTTGAGGTAATTGGTATCTATAATTTTAAATAATAGATAGTACATGTATACCTATTTTAAACTTATTTTTTATTAAATGATACGTTATTGTTTGATTGGTCAGTGTTATTCTTGTAAATAATTTAGATATAATTAAGTGTTAAATTTACTTAAGTTCTGTTAAAAAATATAATTATATTCATTCTGCAATCACATGTATGTTTTGAATTTAATTTATAAAACAACAAATTGCTTACATGTACCTATAAAATGCTATCTACTTGATATTAAATTGTATCAAACTGTAGAAAATCTATATTATTTAATAATGTAATGATTTCGCTTTTGTATAGGTTCTTAATATTTTAATAATTCAAAGTGCATATAATTATTTTAATTTTCAGTTTAAAACAAAAAAGTTATTCCCTAGTACTTAGTAGCATATGTAAATTAAACTAATTGCTATTTTTGGTGAGAATGTTAAAAACTTGGTCAGATTTCTATTCCGTTTCACAATTAAATCGTATTAACTTGGTAACAAATATATTGCGTATTTCACACTTTTTATTACATTTCGATAAATAAAAAGAATTAATGAGAAAAATGATTGCTTAAAAAGTTTGATAAATAATAATAGATTAAAATATTATTCCAGTATTCAATATGTATTAATTTATACCATTTGACAGATTTTTTGTGATTCGCTGTGTCAATAAATAATTTCATAGGAAATGTTTTCATTAATGTTGTTTGCCTAAAATATATTTGTATTAATCTATTTTTGCCCTGAAAACTTTTTTTTTCGCAATAGATATCCAGAAATATTGTGTTCAATAAGGGTAAAAAAGAGGTAGTTTTATGTAAATTGTGAAGTGAAATGACTCAACTATGTTTAATAGCCACTTGACATTTTAAATTATCACTGTACCTATAGTATATTACACTAGGGCAAAAAAAAAACAAAATTACACAAATAAATTGAAGGTGCAATTTGTTCTACTTTGGTCATGGCATTGGCAAATGATAAAATATATTTTTTAATTCGTAATCATTTAGGCAGCTACTATAATATGATTTATGGGAACTCAAAGAAGGTTGATTAAAAATGAATACACACACATTTAAATATCAAATACGTATAGTTGCAGAATAGATATCGAATAAACAATTAATGAAACAACAATTTGTAAAGATACGTGGTTATGTTACCACTGATGTCTGATACCTAATTAGGTCATTACGCATGTACTGCATTTATCTCGACATTTTATATTTATGATGGAACGAAAAAAAAAACGTACAAAATAAACTTTTTCCAGTACATTCAATCGATATAATATTATAATGGTAAGTTGTAGGTAATCTAATTTGTTCTACCGATTTAAAACAAACTAAACGTATCAGCTATCTTCGTACCTACGAATGACGATTTTTTGTAGAAATTAAAATTAAAATTCTAAGTTGTCTTCTAGAAACTTTATAGGTATCATCCGAATTATTATGTTTTCTGAATATAAGAGAGCACGGATATACGCTGAATATACATTATACATCTGGCGATTTCAACAGTACGTCCGAATATTTGCATTTTCGGTAATTAGGTATTTATATTTTCCCCGAAATGACAATGTTTACGATATCTATTATTAGTGATCATAATTATTAATAGTATTCGGCCGTTCGAAGAACATAACTACATTAGCAGCGATAAACTCACAGTCAAATATTGATACACTATATTCAACATTTAGCTGTCGTCGCGTCCGTATAACGTTTAAATTGTAATCTTATTAAGTCAATTTGAATCAAACTTGAAAAATATTTAATTTCATGTTAGTTAAATTTATTACAAATGTTTTAAGTTATTTCGCTGTCTGATTCACAAAGTGTTAATCCATGTTATTTTACACATAATGTGTAGTTATTTAAAATTTAATCCGAGGAAATGATTTATCGTGAATATGATATTGAATTTTTTTTATATTAATTATTTTCAATTTTCAACAAATTTTTTAGAATTTGAATATTAAAAAAAACGAACAGTGGATTTTTTTCTTACAACTTTAAAATTTTTTGAAATGCTGTTATGTTTTTTTCGTGGCAGATTTTACAATCGTCCGAATATATAGGTACTATATAAGATGTATCGGTCTTCAACCCGTAAGATTAGGGTAAGTCGACGGTAACGGTAATAATTACCTTGTAATTAACAAACTGTAATTGACCGGTGGGTCCCAAAACTTTGTGGGCTCCGTGGAAACTTCCCGTCACCTCTCACCGGCAGGCCGATCAAACTGTCGATGGCGACGACGACCACGACGACCACGACGGTTTAAACCTTTATTAAGCGAACTTGCACACACATATACACACACAGTTCCGGCGTGCCAAACATCATTTGTAGTCCCAATTCAATATGCGGGCGAAAAAAGCTGTAATATTTTATATTAAATATCTACCAAATCCCCCCTAAAAATAAATCTGTTAATTTTCTCTACCTCCTTAGCTTGGTTTTGCTCGCGGGACATGTACACATTCGAGTGGACCAAGTGTTAAAAAAAGTATAAGGACGGAAAAAAAAACATGACAAGACCTATACGCAACTACCTACCTACATCTCATTTTTGTATTATAAATTAAATAGTGTACCTATATGTATTTCTGCGTTTTAAAGATTTCTACAGTTTTACGGGGTTGGATTCGGCGGCCAATTATTGATAGGTAGTGAGACTACAGGAAAATATAGATTTACTAATTTCGTGTAAAAGCCCACACAATTTTCTCCCTGGTAGGCAACTGGTAGACTACCATTTGAAACAATTTTTACAGAAATTTTACTTTTACAATATGTAGATACATTGAAACCTCTAAAAATAATATGTATTTTGCATATATCTTTTCACACACACACACACACACACACACACACACACACACACACACACAGATACACGAGACACCTTTTGCGGTGTGTCTGTTATAAAAATGATATACACCGAAGAGATTCTTTACGGCACCGCCGGGTGTGCTTAAGAGTCGTGCGTGCGCGGGCGACCGTGTCCGGGGCGTGCGGGTGCGACCGCCACCACCGCCACAGCGCCGCCGTCGCCGACAAATCTACCGCCGCCGCCGCCGCCGCCGCCGCCGACGACGCCGACAGAGACCGACCGAGAACCGTTTTGTGCCAAAGGCTACGCCGTGTGTCGACCGCACGCCAGTCGGTCACGCTGCGCCGTCCGACAAACGCGTGTTTCGCCATGATTTTCCGCCGTTTTCGTCCAATTGGCAGTCTCGTCGCGTACGACACCACCACGTCGTCGTAAAGTCGAATAATTATATATTATCATCCGTACCGATAAGTATTACCACCGTCGTTGCCAGCAGTCCACGCGAAGGCGACGGCGTTTTTTTCTCCTTTTTGACCAGTAGGTATATACCTACTATACCGTCTTACCTAACCCGACGGTCGCGACTTTTAAAGTTGATTTTTTTTCCTCCGATTTCGCGATGTCTTTCTGACCGACGAGACGCAACTATATGATACGACGGCCGGCTCCAATGAAATAATCTAGACGACTGTCGTTATTACTGACGGTACGTATACGGTAGTCGAGCATATTGTATTCATTGACATATTGCCCACCTATTTTATTTTAAACTTTAATTTTTTATTTGAAATACAATATTTTATTTCATAACGAATAAGAATAATATTTCCCACCTGAAATCGGTTTCTTACAAGTAACATTGTATTATTATTATTATTATTATTATTATTATTATTATTATTATTATTGCATTCATAACTAGTTATACTTAACCTAATCCTCTACGAACTGTTTATAATTTGATAAGACGAATATTGAAATTGTATATCGTGAATTATTGTCGGGAAACAAGAAATTTAATATCGTAGGCGATGCCGCGATAAACCCAACGATTCGCAATAGTCGTTATTCTTTACTTTTGGTAAATCGTAGAGCAAACGACGTGTCTTAATAATGCACGTATACCTAGTAATAACTATTGCAAGGAGTTGGAATAACGACTATAATAATAATCATTAAGTCGTTGGTTTACAAGTGTTGTAAAAATGTAACCTACCTATATTATATAATATTAAACTTTTAACTTGGATGATTTATATTATAATGTAATGATTCTGGACTCTGGTGTTCATAAAGTTTCCCACCATTTAAATATTATAAAAACAGTGTATTGTAATGGTATTTTTTAAACATACCTAATTAAATGCACCAAATAAAATTTAAAACGGTTTTAGAGTAGGTATTCATTATTATTATTATTATTATTCGTTTAATATATATACCTTTTTTCGTCATTCTCGTATTTCAAATTAGACTTTTAAATTAGATAGGTATACATGAAATAACTTTTAAACAAACATATAAGTAGGTAAGTATAAAATTTATACCCATGTGAGTTATGATCAAAATAGCATTCATAGTGCAATTATACCTAAGATTAATGATTATGTATACAATACCTAATTAATTAAAAAGTTCTACTCAACATAAAATCAGTTTTAATTGCAACTCTCAGAAATAGAGGCTAACATGTTTAAGCTACTTATTCCTCAGATATTGGTACATAATACATACATATATAATATATATATTTACATTTTAGGTATATCATCTTTATTTTTTTTTGTATAATTCTAATTATTGTTGATTAAAATAATTTTTAAAATTGGGCATGACAAACAAACAATCAGTTTTTAAAATCAATCAATAAATAAAAATATACCTATTGCTAGTGTTATACAACAATTCAATATTGTCAGGTATCTTATGAGTTTAAAGATTTTTTAGACGATACACCTTCTCTGTAAATACTAAATTATATATTATGTTTTTATACAAAATATTTTTCTGCAGATACCTATACATATTTATAACATTTAATAACTAATATCTAATACTTTTTAAAATACTGTTTAACCAGATTGTTTAGGCAATCAATTTTTAATCCAATATCGATATAAGTGATAATGTTGTTGCAAAATAAAATGTAATGTTTCATTTTGTTTTATTAAAATATTGATTTATAACTTCATTTTTTACTTAAAAAAATGCGTTATTATATTAAAGTAGGTACCTACTTACCTATTGACCTACCTTTGAGAAAGTAAATTCGAGAAATCATTTTAACGTAAATACTATGCATATGATATCATCAAATACTATCACAATTACGTTGTTAATAATAGGAGTTATAGTTGTAATATTATCTTGCCATTCAAAAAAGGAAATGAAAATAATTTTTGATTTCACAGTTGCATATTCCAATTTATTCATACTAAAAATATGAATATTTTATTTTACTCTAAAATATTATACTATGTATCAATTATTTTCTACAACTATTTTCAAACTCAAATGACTTATGAATAATATTTAAAATAAGTTAAAACAATATAATATAGTTATTAGTTATATATAAATAAATAGTTATTTATCCTAAATAATATGATCAACATGGGCATGCAAAGAAAAATATTGAAAACCTCACAAAAACATACATATTTTTTTATTTATACTTTATACTTTGGAATTGATATTCAAAATCGAAAATATATTCATCATTTTATGTACATATACATTATACACGTTCGCCAAGCATGCTCATCCTTATTTTTTCGGTTATAATACATTTATTTTAATTATGATTTATGGACATTTTAACTTTAAAGAGCTTATACGGCTTATTGACAATATTTTTAGTTGTTTATATTTTATCACTTCTACAAAAATGTATCTAATATAAACTTTTATTTTCGAAATTATTGTTGGACACATGGGTAATTGTTTTAAAAATATTCTTGTACCTAAATGTATTGAAATCAAAATACGAACCAGTAGTTTCAGAGTTATGAAAAAAATGATATGCTAAGTATAATAGTTCTTAAAAATGGTTTTACAATAGTATAAAATATAATATATTATATTGCAGGGTCAAGAATTTATCATACTAGGGTATAATATATTGATAACTAAAATTCTCAAATTATCATAGCCTCCATTTCTCATATTATTATATACTTGGTGATCTAAACCAAATCACCTATACATGGAAAACTGTACTAAGAATTATAGGTCTTTAGTACACCAAATTAAAAATCTCAAAAACTACTCTTTTGAATTTCGAATTAGATACATCGAAAAATTAAAAAAAAATCACGATTCTCATTTGTAAAAAAAAGAAGTATTTTTATTGTTACAGAAGACTCCTTAAATAGTATAAAAATTTTTTTTTTTAATATAGACTAGGGTATGCTTATACATTTGAACTTATCAACTGTGACGTCTTGAATTGTACAACACATTTTTGGATCGTAATTTGTAATGATTTTCAAAAGTTAACACTATATCATATCAGTATATTATTATAACAGTAACATATAATATTGTATTATTAATTATGTAGTTGTGATATTATTTTTACAATTGCCTAGTATAGATTATGCGTAGTATTTTGATTTAAACAAAACATTTTTTGACATGCCTGATGTATCATGAATATTAGTGAAGTAAATTCATTCTTTTTAAACCGAATTATCTTTTTTATGTTATTGCTTATCAATAAACTATTGTCAATTATTAACTTTACGATGTTTCTCTTGGCAACAATGGAGCATCGATATTGTTTTTTTTTTTACTTATTTAAGTTTGAATATATTTTATTGTCTTTGGACATTTTATTTTCGACAAAATAACATGAAACCATAAATCAACTTTATTAAGTATTATAAAAGTTATATGGTGTATAAAATGTTTATTGCTGGAATAATAATATGTAATGTGCTATACCTAAATGCATCAACAATGATTTATATTAATTTCATTGATTCAATTAAAAATAATAACCATATTATAGTTTGTTATATATAATATATTTAGGTGAGACAAATTTGAACTGAACTTTAAAATGCTGTTTCTTTGTCATTTATTACCTACCTGCATGTTAAACGAGTCTGTAAAACATCTTTGTGTATGTGTAAGACTAAAAAGTAAAAAGTAGGTACGATACAGAAACTCGGTGCTGTACGCTCGACTTATTTGTCACCTCAGTTAAACACAGTATCATGAGTCATGACGTATTATACTACTATCGTTCTACATTTGAAAGTAATAAAATATTATCACAATATACATATATGTGTATATTATATTATTATTCTATATTTTAATCTTACACGTAATATTACTGTTTACTAAAGTTTTTCTTTTTGTTCTAATTTTTTGGAACATCCTTCAGAAATACTGAATGACTTTCTAAACCTATTAAGATTTAAAAGTTTCTGCTGTGTCCGATTTATCTGAACATAGAGCACATAAAACAAAATGTTAAACAGCCAATAGTTTTGATCAAGTTTGGAATCTAAAATCATATTCTATCTTTACAATAATTTATTGTAAAATTTAAAATATACTTATCAGATCAATTGAGTTGTCATATTAAAATTACATATTCTATGTTAAAATATTAAATACTTAAATAATTGACATATAATTATCAATAGTGATTGTAATGATTTGTAGGTAGGTACCACAATCTACAGTAGCTCAATAATACTATTAACTACGTTTATTTGTCCGAAAAAATGACTATTTGTCTCGATATTGATATATGTTGTACATATTATTGTGAAATAACTCAGGGGTTAAAAGTTGTAATATATTATGTAAATGTATTGTCAACATTTTGGTTCGTTTAAAAAGTATACTTTATCAAATAATATAATATGTACTGTTTTATTTTCTAAAAACGCAAAATAAATCTGCTATCCATTGTACAATATTAGAATATGTATAATTACTTGTCAAGCGTACCTACTCCAATGAATACTGTTGTTTAAAATTATTTTATAATTTTTATTATAACATATTTTAATAAAATAGGTAATTAATTCATTGAAAATATATAGATTGCCTCTATTCAAATTATTTTAAATTATTGCACAATTAAAATAATATACAGACATAAAATATATACTTCGATGAAGCCAAACACTGAAAATAGGTGACGCATAAATATATCACAATAAAATAAATTATTATTTGCTTTGGTTACTCATAAGTTACCTATAAGAAGTTGAATAAAAATGATTTCAATATATTTATGCGGAAAAAAATACTAAAATGTTTGACAAGAACAATTAAAAATATTTTTAATATTAAAAAAAAAACAACTAAATGAGGTTGGCTGCTTGAAGACCTGTAACGTTACAAAACTGATAAATCGATTTTATGAAGAAAAAAAAAGAACAAAGCTTTGATAATTGCATTTCAATATACAGAAACTATGTTGACAGTTCTTTTAGTAATAAACTTGAACAATCTAGACTTTAGAGAGTTTTTGAATCTCAGTAAATCTAATATCCAAGCAAGAAATGTACACAAATATTCAACACAAAAATTATTTCAACGATGTATTTAGAGTTTTCTAATTATTTGTGTAAAAAACGTATCCTATAGTTTTAGTTACAAATATTTAGAACAAATGGAATAATCATTTCATGAATAATATGATTTGGAAACAGAAATTAAATAAATAATTGATTAATACACACAAACATCTGAATTTAATTTTCAGCAATGTAATTATTCAGAATATTCTGTATAAGTATAATATTTCAGAGTTTAGAGCTACTCTAATTGGTGGAATTAAATAAAATTCTAAAGTTAAGAATAAAGCTAGAAAAATAAACGTACACATTGTAATCATATTATATTATAATACTATGGCTGATCCCGTGCACTTCGTTGCCCGTTAAAAATGTCAACTCTATATGAGACTCTTGTTTTTATGCGAACGGTATATTATCAGGTATGATATTAAATTATATTATATTATTACCATTGGACCCCGCCCTAGGTGTATATTTTATGTAAATAATATTTTTTATTTTTATTTTATATTTTTTATTTTGACCGTGGATACGCTGATGAGCGGCTATAAGTGCAACTCAGCCATCTTAGTAAGCAATGTGTGAACATTCGATTAGTTATTAGTTATGTTTTACCAATAACTAATATAACACATTTGCTTGGATATTCAGATAGTATTAATTGTTTTTTTGACTTAACTAAATAATTATAACAATTGTTTATTATTTGACGTCGATACCGACCTGCCTGGAAGCGTCTACGGTTGTCAAGTTTGATTGTTATTTATTTCCAGTGACTATTTTTACAAAAAAAGTGTAGGTATACAATTTACACGTTTATTTTAATTAAGAGATAACTCAATTGTTTATTAACTTAGACAAATGGCATTGCGATAGAAACCTTCTCCGTGATATGATCTTTCGTTTAAAAAAAAATCAAGAAGATCTGATAAGTAGTTCCAGAGATTACCCTGTACAAAGATTTTCATTTCACATTTATATAGTTCCTTACTTTAATGTAATACTTTAATGTTCATTGTTAAAATTACGTTGATATTTTCATTTCGTTTTAATTAGTAATGTTTACTATTTTAATACCTTTGTATCAGGGTCACCATTTGTGGTATAGTAAGGTATACATTAATTTACCTACTTTGTCCATATAGTATGTACACCATAGAGAAAGATATATACACCAATATATAGACTACCTTGATTTTATGCTGAAACCAGTACAACCAGAACTAAAGTAATTTATATTATGATTTATGATAACATAATAATCATTTTATAAAGTATTAAGTATCGGTAGATAATTTTAAAATAATTCATTTCTTTGTGTGGACATATCATGTCTATATGGTTTATTTAAATAGGTACAAACAATTTAGTGTCACGACAACAGTTTGATGTATAATTACAGAAAAGAGGAAGAAGTTCATGACCAAAATTAACGTTTTTAATATTATATTAATATAATGTGGGTAATATAATGATAATATTATGGTAAGCTTTTAGAGCATTTATTTAATATTCCGCCGTAAATATATTCCATGTTTATGATCATAAAAATAAAACGTTACAAGTAGAATTACATGTTGAAAGTTGAAGAAGCTTATATTAAGTGTAATACTTAGCATAAATCATGTAAGTTCCAGTCTCTTGAAGATGCTACATAATAATTCGATTACAAACTATAATAATAATTATTATCATGCAGTATCACCTAAGATACTTATTTTGTGTAGGTACATGCAAAGATACATTTCTGTTCACCCATTCTCCTTGAAATGTGTGCATTACAATTTCCGGACTTAATAATAATACTGATTGTGAATGGTAAATATAATATTTTAAGTCCTCACTTAAATAGCTTTTCAATAAGGTTCGATGGTACCGTTCGGTGGAATATGATGTATATATAAACGGGAAAATAGAGAATCATTTATTTATATTGGTGGTCGGTAGTTCGAAACATACGTAACAATTAATACGTTTGTGTAAACGGTGAATATTGTGCAATTGATTCAAATCGTAATCATAATTATTATGTTACAATATATTATTAAACACATTATGTGTAGATATTATGTTTATACATATCGTCTAATGTTAACTGGTTATGTCAATGCAAAATATATTGCACCATATAATGATAAATTATATTTTACACACACACACACATACTTATATATATTACCTACGTATATATATGTGTGACATTTTTGTGTATATTTCTTACATTTATATGTACCTAAGCTATTCAAATATAGATTTATTAATAATTGATTTGTTATCATTTATACAACATGCAAAGTATACCCACATATATACTATATATACTATCAATATAACATTATACATGTATGAGGAGTATTCACAAAGAATGTTCATGTATACCACGGAGACACAATGTCGACCACAAAAACATTTTGGCGAAGACAAAGACGAGACGTGCCAAGTAAATTCAATGTTTATAGCGAAATATCTGTATGAAAGAAATACATTTGCACTTTATGTTTGATATACAATGTACAATGCACATATTATATTATTGTGTGTATAGGTATGCAAATATTGTATAGTATAATATATTATAGCGTTATACTACACATGTACTCGAGGTTATATACCTACCTACTGTTGCTATATAGTATAGTGTTGTCAATTTGTTTAAAATAACATTTATAAATAGCTCCGCATAAGAGTGTATTATTTAACCAACAGTTTGATAAAAATATCAAACAAAATATTTAGATAATAATACCTACTCTAGATGTATGAGCAACATATAGTAGGCACAATAGGCACATGATTTATTAATAAAATAAAATAATGATTTTAAAAACAAACTATGACTGATGTTGGTCGATATTTAGATATTATATTATCAAAATGCTTGAATACCAAACTAAATAAAATATGAACATTATGAACTCAGAATTACAATTTATTGTAGGTAAATTAAATAACTATACCTACGTCTATATACGTTCATTCAAATGCATAATACTGCAAAAGACTCAAATTTGCATGGAATGTAGGTATAATAGTATAATACACATTACATATAATACTAATTTTAATGTATTCATTATTTCAATTGGTGATCAATTATAATCTTGAATATTATACATATAATATATACTTATGGAATAATGCAGTTTTCAGTTCGTATAATAAAATACATTTTAAATGTAGGTATTGGGGTGCGTCACTTATGTTTATATCTCGATTAAGAATGCGATTTGATAATTAACAATATACCTAACCAATTGCATAATTATAAATATTCAAATATACGTATGTTAAGATATAATGATCTTTTTTTTACAAAATAAATATCTATATGTTATGTTTTTAATAATATAAGTAGTACACTATACTAATCATTAGTCGATTATAATTGTTATTCACATTGTTTTAAACTTATAAATATAAAATAGTATATTTTACAATATATATATCGGTCAGTTGCTAGAATATTTGTTTAAAACTTCATTATTTGATTAAAATTGTGGTATAAAACTATGAAATAGTTGAATTTTTCAATTCTCAGAACCAAGTTCGTAGTTTATAAACTAAAAATCGGCTGAATTAAATTTTAGATATCTTATAAATGTCCTGAAATTACTAACTGTCATAAAACCAGTGGAATCAACAATTATATTTGTAAATACTAACCATTTTTTTTTTTTTAAATTTAAATTTTAAAAACCACTACTTTACAACTATAAATATTAATTAATTAATAGTTAATACATATTGCACTATTAAATAAGGAAATTATTATGATGGGACTTGTGAGTGGTTTTTTTTGAGAGCTGACTTGAATGCTGGACTTCCCTTGAAGTTGACAGCTTGGTCCTTGGTATACAGAGCGCATTTGGTGGTAGGTGCTGTTACGATTTTTGGATGTAAAGTAGTATTATAATATGTACTTTTTTTGTGTTTTAAATGACAAGGCTAGCTGCAGTTAAATAATATGTACCTACTCAATAATAAAACGCTCATTTGGTCTCATTTTATTTTAAATTAGAACCCATAATGCACAATAAATTATTATTTATTAGCACAGAGTTTCTTTAATATTATGTTTTTATTTTTGTTTGTAGATAAAAAAAAAATGTCCAGTCGTCATGAGACGTTCACTGCGGAATATTGCACGGGTGAAACAGTCACACTGTACAGTCAACAACACCACACGAGAATACATCTCCAAACGCACGCCCATCCAAATAATCACATTCCATTAAATCAAAGTAAAATATATATTTATTATTTTTTTGTTTCTGTTACGAAAGTTATAAAAAAAAATAATAAGAGAATTCAAAAAATCACAAAATACAATGGACTATGGTACATAGTCCCGCTATAGTGCATAAATTCTTCATAGGCGTGATGCAATGCAAAAATCTTTCAAACAAGAATTGAAACTAGTTTGAAACATACTTCATATTGTGTTTGTATAGATTTTTTTGAATTTGTATAGACATTTGTGGTTGTTAAATAATTTTAAATTTAAATCCATAGACTATTATAATTCTAGGATTTAATTGAAATTATTAATTAATTTTATAAAAACATAAACTGAAGTTAATGTTATTTGTTGAAGATAGAAATGCACATGAGTAACAGATAACTAAAAATGCTTATGATTAAATGAAATCGTAATTAAAATCCATAATGTAATCTACACTTCTTTGGAGGTAATGAGGCGTACATGGTTTCTAGATTCGTTTATGTTGAAAAATTTTTAAAAAAAATGTGAGCAGTAAAATATACCTTCAGGGTTAACAGTAAAAATATAATCGACCATGATGTTATTTACAAATGCAATTCGTAAACTGTCAAACACAGCCCATGATTTAGATATCTGGCTTATTTTTCACACTGCGATTTATTAACCAACAATGCAATTTAGATAAACATCGGGTGTATATTGGTAACACACTTATAAAATATTGTCATGGCAAATGTGTACAATTTTAATGGAAAATGGGTGTTTGTAACTGCAACGGTCGTATTGTGTTACTATGACAAACATTAGATGTACCTAGAACAAAAGTTTTTATACTTTTTTTGAAGTGGGGGAGGGGGGGGGGTGACGTTGGGTCAAGGTATGAAGAAATACATATCATTACAAACATATTATAAATATGTGGATAATATTGTGTATAGACTAAAATATTTTATATTTTGAGGTAAAATAATACAACAACTAATAGGTCCGTACCTAATTATAATTATAATTATTAAAATCATACTATAGTCTATAATACAGAACATCATAACTTACCGTATATTTACATGTAATACAAAAATATCTACAAAGCTTCACTAATACGATTTTATTAATAATATACAAAAGCTTATTATATTAAATGTATTTGTTAACAGATATAAACACACAAGTATGCCTAACCTAACCTAACCTAACCTTTACTTTATACAATATTAGTATTTGTACTAACACAATTAATTTTCATACTTTTATGTAAAAATATAACTAATTATTGTAATGTTAAAAACGTTTGTTCTAGTCAAGGAATTTTTTTTTTAAATATCAATACTTTTTTTGAGTAAATTAATTTGAATCTTAGTAACTTTTTTCAAAATGTTATTTTAAGGCATATGTAAATGTTCAATTATTTATTTAAGAACAAATGAAATTATTTATATAATATTCAAAATTGTTTTCAAATATTATTCATTTTTCATTTTTCATTTGTCAGGTATTTCTGTAGAACATGTATGGTGTAGTATATCTAATTCTAATTAAATTGTTTTTTATTCTGTTCGTCAAACATTTATTTAATAAAATTATAGTTATAATACTACTAAATTCCTGTTGAAGAGGTAGGTGTGACTTTATTCCCTGATAAAGCAGAGGTCTGATCAAAATGATTGTACTCGTTAAGACAATATAACTTAAGTCACTTCCGTTTTAATTACTAGCTAAATAAAATAATAATGTAATCAATAAAAATGTATTTAAATTTATAAATAAAATGTAAAATTTTTGCTTGAAAATCATTAGCGATGATTGATGAACGACAAGTAAATGAGGGGGATGACATGAAAAACACATTTTTAGTTTATCTAAAAATTACAGATCATCATATGATTTTTAACTGACTAAATTATTCATAATTCTTATACATTTTATAATATTTTATAGTTAATATCATGCTATAGTTTTAAGTTTATCGTCTCATCAATATTAAGAACTTAATTGTCAACCTAAAATTACTACATAACTGATGTTATTGACGCAAAAACTGTACGAGCCTTAGTTAAAAATAACGAAAATATTTTTGTAACGTCATAGTCTATAAAACATATTATGTATATTGAAGTATCGAACTCAGAAATTTAAATTTATGAAGTACATAATTATAGTGGTATTGAAGTACAGAGGTTTATTTTATTTTGTGTGTTATACCATTTTACACCTTTTGTGTTCTATTACACAGTCATAACTTTTATACTTTGTTAAGAAAAGGACGTGTTTTAATGCATTTACCTTAAAAATATGAGTGTTTAGTATTTTATTTTATTTTACATTCGGCGCAGACATTATGTACTTATTGACAAAGGCGTAAACATTTAAACTGCTTAAACCCAAGGGCGACATATTGAAAAAAAGAATAAAACAACTTCAAACATAGTACAGCTAGTGTATATAATATAAGCTAGCTTACAAATCACTTAATCACTAAATTCTAAACAACTCTTAAAATATTTAACTCAATATTCTTATAGTTGTAATATATTAAAGTTTGTTGATCTATATATTTAATTTAAATTCTGAAACCATTCCTGGCAATCTACCTCGCAAGCTAAAGATAAGATGGAACGTTGATATAAACCACAATTAAAAATCCAGTAAAAATTAAACGAATTTCTTTATAAAGTGTTACCGTTTTGTAGCTTCTTTTATCACGTGTCTCATGTCAAAAAAAAAAATTGTATAAATATCGGCATACAGGGTTATTGTAAATTAATTATTACAGATTGTTTGGTTTTTAAATAAAGTTTAAAAAAATTTAAAAATTTAAAAAATGTTTAATTACTAAAAAAAAAAAAATATTTGTATAAAAGTATAAAACTGAAACATTTTGTTCAAAATCTAATTAAATAAATTAATATTGAATAATAACGTTGTTTAAATTACAACAATCAATTTTTCCTTATTGAATAAAATGAGCTAATGAAAATTGTGTTACGTGTTATGGATCCCGCTATTTCTTAAGTAAACAACACGAAGACGGGTAAAATTGTTTACTCATCCTTAGAAAATGAATTGCATACCAAACTATATTCTAATGTATTTAAAAGTTTAAAGTTTTGAACTTTAATCCCAATTTATAATATCTTATGAAGTTAGATAAAATATTAATAAGTATTTTTTTTTAATTTGCATAAGTAATCAGTTTTTATAAAATAAAACTATAGAGGGAATTACAATGAAATGTTATCATAATTACTTTTGTAACTTTTCCCCAGTTAATAATGTACTTGTTGTGTTATTTTTTATAATAATATTTATGTTTGAATTTTGTTTCATCTATAATTTGTTCGTATACTATAGGTATATAAATATCTTGATTTAGATAATTTTAAATTTCATTAAATTGTTAATCGTAGGTATTCTGTATTAATGTTGTATCATTATTGTGTTATATGGCCATTAAACGATTATAAACATAAAGTATTTATCAAACCATGAACGTTTAATTACATTTTCAGAAGGGGAACCAATTAAATTGCCAGATAACTTGGAGAGTTTGCCACGTGCTGAGCATTTCCCTGTTCAAAGACATCGCTGGAACACTAACGAGGTATGTTACAATGAAGTTATTAATAAAACTATACTATTGAGATGTTCAGATTAGCTGTACAGTGCATAATACCTTAAAAAGTTCACAGACTAATTTTTTTTCTTAGTATTACTGTCAAAGTAATATTTTTTATAGCTGATATTCTGTCAATGATGTTATCTTTAATAACAATTAACAATTAATCATTATAAAGTTCTTGGATACCTGCCAATCATATTCAATTACCTATGTATCAGCTCTCGCTTAATTAGGTACAACTGTCCAAAAATATTCAAAGAACGGGAGAGTGGTTGACTGGCATTTTAATTTATAGACTGAAAAAATATATTGAATTAATACAAAAAACTGAAACCATAGATTATATATTTCGATCTGTGGATATGTAAATTAAAAAAATAAAATACTCTATTGAGAAGGTCCACAGAGAAATTTAAGCTCAGAGGGTTAGGTTAGGTTTATAAAAAAGGATACTATTCTGTAACATACTAACACATATTTTGGGTGATCGATGTTCAGAGTTATCATAAAAAAGTATTGTGTCAAATATATAGGTTTCAAATTAACAAAGTTTGATTCCTGCATGCTAGGACAGGTATTGAATTTAATCGTACTTCTATACAGGATATATTTAATATTTTCTGATAATGTTACCCAGTAGTCAGTATGCAACTTATTTGATGGACGTAATATTGCAGATTATTTTTTCTGTCAACAAATGTAACTAAAGTTTAGCTGAAGCGACTGCGTATAAATACAAATTAAATTAATTATAATAAAATGCATCGTGACATAAGTACATAACAGCTGAACGTATGTACAAGAATGATTCTTGAAGAATCCTTAAACAGTCGTTGAAAACTTAATCAAACCATGACTATAATACCTATAATATACGTATACCTCACGTACGTATATTAAAACTTACAAAAGAGCACATTGAAAATAAATTGATTTGATTTTTTTAAATATATCTAATGAATCTCGGAAATCATTGGATTCAACATTGTAACTGATATAAAAAAAAAATAAAAATTTATTTTCAATTTTTTATTGTGAGTATATTATCAGTTCAGAGGTTTGACGGGAGTACATTATTAAATTATAATATATTTTTTTTGTTCACATATTTCTTTATATTTATGTTGAAGCCTCATAAGAACGTGTGACGTTGTGGAAAGTGCTTTGCGGAGGCTTCACACTTTTAAGTTATTATGATAAATAACGAGTAGATGACGTATCTTTATCATTGGAGAATAAACTCTATAGTATATAAGGTTAAAATGGTTAAAAATCATTGTGTATTCCAACAGACGACATGGTATAATAATATTCATAAAAAACCGAAACTTTTCATCATTATTATTATTATTATTTTATTCATAATTTATACATTATATTTTTCTAACTTGATATTTATAGTTAGGTACTGTTTTAGTTATTTACAATATGGCTTACATTTTTTTTAAATAAGTCTGTTCACTGATGTTCGTTTTTATATTTTCGGTTGATTTGTTTTGATATCCAAGGATTTCGTATAATTGTTCCGGTCATTGTTGTATAGTCCTCCTGGTAAATATAGATAAAAATAAAGATAAGCATTTTAATTTAATTTTTCAACTCTGTTTAGTGAGTATAATGTGTATACTAAAATGTTCCAATGGCATTCAGCAGGTTCAACAATTGTAAATCATAGATTTATTTTTCTTAACTCTCTTTCAAACGTAACTATTCACATCTGTCATATAATTTATAAGCTATAATTGTATGTAAACTTTTGTTTAATTTTAATAAGTTGTTTTTTAAGGAATAAACATCAATTGTTTTCTAAGTAGAGCAGGTCGTATTTCATTACAGGATTTATTGGTTTTGTAATGTTGTTATTGTTGTTTTTTCCTTATAGGTAGTGTGTGTACTAAAATATTTGGAATTTAATACTTCCTTATATTTTTTCTAGTCTTAAAAATAACAGTTCTAGACAATTTTGATCGACTTCCTAGTTGTTTTAAAGCTTTATAGAAGCTATAAGATATTCGAGGAATTTCAATTTCAAACCATTTTATGTTTATTCGATACATATTATTATAAAAGATTTTATAAAAATCAATTCTGATGTTTAAGTTTTTCGTTATAAATTTGCAATTTCAGTTTAACACTTTTTTAATAAAATGTGAATGATAGATGATAACATGTTAATCCAATATATCAAAATAATTATTTTTAGTAAACTTTGTCCATAAGCGTTGGATATCATCATCGTAGGTATTCAAACAAAAAATTAAAAAAAGTATAACAATTTCTTATACTGGTGTGAAAGAAGTCGAAGTATCAAAAATCTAGTGAGGGATTATAATATTTTTAGATTGTCCACTTGACACTTTTTGTAAATTAAGACCATACTAATAATTTTATCTTTTTTTTTTATTAATTTAAGCCGCAACAACTAAGGTAATTGGCATGTTGTACAATGTAAAGATTAACTTATGTGCTAGAGGGAATTATACATATTAAATACAATGATAGTTATTTACATAGGTTAAACGTTAAAGTATGTGAATATAACATATAAAATATAAATATCAGATGAGGTTATACAGTTTAGTAATTTTAAGAAACTTTATGATTTTGATATTACTTTCGTGATCGGGTCCAAGCGCTTCACATAATAGATGCTCAGAAATACCTAAGGCTGTTCTTGTGTCTGCTTAGTTTCGACAGTATAGGAGGATATGTTTAACCGTTAGAGCTTCCCCACAGGTTGTACATGGGTCTGGATCTTCACGTCTCATGAAATAATTTTATCTTATTTTTTACAACTGTTTCAATATACTTTAATGTTGGTATCTGTTATATCGTTGTATAATATTATTATACTTACATTCTTAATTTTGTATTACCGCAAGTAAAAATGTCACGAATCAATATTATTCAAATATACATGTATTCTTGTAGTTCAAATGTTTAATAAATATTTTTAATCGCAGTTCTTCGAAAACATTTTGTAAATTCAAAATTCAGCGATTCATTTACATCAATATTTAAAATCATTTTTATAATGAAAATGCAAATACTATAGTCTTGTTTGAAATACTTGTACTGTATGTATTAATTGCAATATAAGTAGAAAGTTTATCCATTTCATAATTTTAAATGTATTGTGTCAATGAATTCAGCTAGGTTCATTGTGTTATGCTAATAATATTTAATTATTCATATTTCAATATTTAATTAGTCTGACATTTTAATGATAATAATTTATAACACTGACCGCCATTGATTGTGATTTAATGCAATTTTCAACTTTCCCATGGAGGTAGCTTTTTGGATGACAAACTTCTTTACTTATCAGATTGGTTTATTAAAAAAAAGTGAAATAATATCAAGTCAAGTACGTATTTTATGTATAACTCAAGCACTACTTATTTTAATATAAGTTTGATTGGTACTATTGTACCTATTATTATATCGCCAGTACTTCCATGCGATTTCTAGAGATTTTGACCATCGAATTTAGTGTGCTTTAATTTATTCTCATATCGAACTAGTAAAGACCAGTTTGTTACGTATGTGAAATGTCAATTTAGCCGTCATTGGGTATATACTGGCTGTCCGATAGGATTTCACAAGAAGGGCGGCTTTTTCTCCCTACTCCACCCTACGCCATTTCGTCGGTTGAATATAAAACGGTGAATTTATCGGATTTCATACTCTATTAGACTTCTACCTTCCCGTCTCAACAAAATCACCCGTGACTCGGCTGACGTGCGTTCATATAATTCAATTCCATCGCTCAGCTGGGATCCTCTATTTTTTTCTCTAATGATTCCTTGTTCGCATATCGGGGTAATGTATGTATGTTTGTATGTATGTATGTATGTATGTATGTATGTATGTATGTATGTATGTATGTATGTATGTATGTATGTATGTATGTATGTATGTATGTATGTATGTATGTATGTATGTATGTATGTATGTATGTATGTATGTATGTATGTATGTATGTATGTATGTATGTATGTATATATGTATGTATGTTGATATTAAAGGAACTGTACGTATAGTATTTTAGTACACGCGTGTGCTTCGTATTGAATTGACACTATTTTTCAGTATTCGTAATTGAACGTCCATCAACCCAATGTCGCAAATACTGCATATTAATGAAGATACTTTATAATAAATTATTAATTATATCAGTTTAAGAGGTTATTTATTTACTACAAAATATAATTAGTTTGATTATACAGCATAATATTATAAACGGTATTAGACATTATTTAATTACTATAAGCAATAGCTGTTTCTTCAAATGTTCTAAGCGCATTAAGTTATGTACTGCTCCTGTTATAATAGTTAAGCTCAATACGGTTTCAGTAACGTACAGTAACTATTGCTCACTGTAGAGTTTTTAATTTTATATTATAGTAAGGTTATATCAGTGGTGGTCCGAATGAGGAGGGGGGGGGGAGGTGGCTGATTTTTCAACATGCACTATTTGATCATTAAAAACATAATTCATTAATTATATTTATACAGAAAATAGGGTTATGTGTATGATATACTCCCTCTCATCTCACCTCCGTTTGACAACCACTAGGTTATGTACTTATGTGAAATATTAAAATATACATCTCAAGTAAGTTAATTTTTAAGTATTTGATTTGTTTTTTTATTTAATTAGTTTGGGAGTATATTATTAATATACTAGGTACCTATATTATTATTTATTATGTAGTTAAATATTTTATGACGATTTAGAACACTCCTTATTTATTCTACGCCTTAAAAAGGACATCTTATCAAGGATAACACGAACCATTGTCATAACCATTGTAAGTTTTCATCAATAATAATATGGCCAACAGCAAGTATAATATACTGAGTTTTTCTTGATTAATCTTGAAATCCTAAATATTATTCCTACATACATTTTTCTAATTTTATAGTTTTTCTTTTTCTGTATAAAAAGAATTGTAAGAATACTTACACATAGATTTGAG